CAATGCTCGAAAGAACACACAGATGGATCAGGCTGAATTTGTTGATTTGGGCCCACTAATAGGGATCCTGCATTTAATGTTGCAGCTCGGGGAGTTAAAAAAGGTTCAAATAGTTTATTTCCTTGGCTAGCTGAAATACAGATTAAAAGATGGCCCACTGTGAGCAAGCCAGAAATGCTTGATCTCCCTTGGTTTAATGTAGAGGAAGGCATCCAAAGGCTCAGGGAGATTGGGATGGCGGAGTGGATTAGTCACGTTACATCTACTCACCCAGCTTGGAGGGCCCAGAAGATATACCCTTGACCAGTGCTTTGCAAAGCAGCACCTGCATCTTTGAACAGCTCTGTAATTGCTCTTCTCTGTATGTTAGATCTAGCAGAGGGAAGCAAAGGCACTCATCTATAAAAATTTAAATATAATGAAAATAACTGGACTCCGAGGTGGCAGGGGCCAAGTGGCAGCACTCAACCAACAAAGGCAAGGTGGGTATAGCTACCATAATGGACAGCAGAGGCAAAGCAGCAATCAGAACCATCTGACTCATGTAGAGTTCTGGCATTGGCTAATTATTCATGGTGTTCCTATAAGTGAAACTGATAGGAAGCCTACTGCATTCCTACTTAATTTACATAAGCAGAAAACTTCCAGGTCAAATGAACAAAAAACTAATTTGAATTACAAAAGCAGAGAATCATGGCCCTTCAATCAATTTCCAGACTTGGTCCAGTTTACAGACCCAGAACTCCTTGAATGAAGGGGAGGTCAGGTCCCCTAAGGAAGGACCCCACTATACTACCGACAATTTATGCTGTTAATCTTTCTCCCATCCTTCCCCAAGACCTCTGGCTTTCTACCAGGGCAACTGTGCGCTGGGGAAAGGGAAATGATCAGATATTTCAGGGACTACTCGACACTGGGACTGAGCTGATGTTGATTCCAGGTGGTCCTCAAATTAAAGTAGGGGCTTATGGAGGTCAGGAGTTTTAGCTCAGGTCCGACTTACAGTGGGTCCAGTGGGTCCCCGGACTCAAACCGTGGTCATTTCCCCAGTGCCAGGATGCATAATTGACACAGACAAACCTAGCAGCTGGCAGAACCCCCATACTGGCTCTGACTGGTAGGGTAAGGGCAACTATGGTAGGAAAGGCCAAATGGAAGCCATTAGAGCTGCCTCTACCTAGAAAAATAGTAAATCAAAACCACTACCACATGCCTGGAGGAAATGTGATTAGTGCCACCATGGAGAACTTTAAAGATGCAGGGGTGGTGATTCCTACCACATCCCCATTCAACTCTTCCATTCGGCCTGTGCAGAAGACAGATGGACCTTGGAGAATGACAGTGGATTATTGTAAGCTTAACCTAGTGGTGATTCCAACTGCAGCTGCTGTCCCAGATGTGGTTTCATTGCTTGAGCAAACCACCATGTCTCCTGGTACCTGGTGTGCAGCCATTGACTTGGCAAATGGCTTTTTCTCCATTCCTGTCCCACCAGAAGCAATATGCCTTCAGCTGGCAAGGCCAGCAATATACCTATACTGTCCTACCTCAGGGGCAGATCAACTCTCCATCCTTCTGTCATAATCTTATTCAGAGAGAACTTGATTGCTTTTTGCTTCCACAAGATATTGCACTGGTCCATTACATTGATGACATTAAGCTGATTGGATTCAGTGAGCAAGAAGCAGCAAACACACTGGACTTACTCGTCAGACATTTGCGTGCCAGAGGAGGGGAAATAAATCTAACTAAAAATGAAGGACCTTCTACCTCAGTACAATTTCTAAGGGTCCAGTACTGTATGGCCTGTTGAGATATGCCTTCTAAGGTGAAGAACAAATTGCTACACTTGGTCCTTTCTATAACCAAGAAAGAGGCAAAATGTCTAGTGGCCCTATTTGGATTTTGGAGGAAATACATTCCTCATTTGGGTATGTTACTCTGGCACATTTATTGAGAGATCTGAAAGGCTGCCAGTTTTCAGTGGGGTCCAGAACAGGAGAAGGCTCTGCAACAGGTCCAGGCCGCTGGGCAAGGTGCTCTGCCACTGGGCCAAATGACCTAGCAGATCCAATGGTGCTTGAGGTATCAGTGGCAGATAGGGATAGTGTTTGGAGCCTTTGGCAGGCCCACTGGCCAATCATAGCAGAGGCCTCTAGGATTCTGGAGCAAGGCCCTGCCAGCTTCTGCAGAGATAACTACTCTCCTTTTGAGAGCCAGCTCTTGGCCTGTTCCAATATGGGTCAAGTCACCATGTGACCTGAACTGCCTATCATGAACTGGGTGCTTTCTGGCCCAGCTAGTCATAAAGTGGGTCATGCATAGCAGCATTCCATCAACAGACGAAAGTGGTATTATATGTGACTGAGCTTGAGCAGGTCCTAAAGGCACAAGTAAGTTACATGAGGCAGTGGCTACACTCATGGACTACACTCATGGACTACCACACTACCCAGGGACTACATTCCTGCCACCCCACCTTCCCTCCCCTAGCCTGCACCGATGATCAGTTGGGGAGTTCCCTAAGATCAGTTGACAGGGAAAGAAAAGACGAGGGCCTGGTTCACAGATGGTTCTGCATGATACGCAGACACCATCTCAAAGTGGACAGCTGCAGCACTTCAGCCCCTTTCTAGGACATCCCTGAAGGGCAGCGTTGAAGGGAAATCTTTCCAGTGTGCAGAAATTCAAGCAGTGCACCTCGCTGGTGTACTTTGCACAGAAGGAGAAATGGCCAGATGTGCGATTATATACTGTTTCATGGGCTGTAGCCAATGATTTGGCTGGATGGTAAGGGACTTGGAAGAAGCATGATTGGAAAGTTGGTGTCAAAGAAATCTGGGAAGAGGGATGTGGATGGACCTCTCTGGGTGGCCAAAAACTGTGAAGATATTTGTATTCCATGTGAGTGCTCACCAACGGATGGCCTCAGCAGAGGAGGATTTTAATAATTAAGTGGATAGGATGACCCATTCTGTGGACACCACTCAGCCTGTTTCCCCAGCCGGGTGAAAACCCCGGTCATTACCCAATGGGTCCAAGAACAAAATGGCCACAGTGGCAGGGATTGAGGTTATTAAGGGGCTCAGCAACATGGACTTCCACTCACCAAGGCTGACCTGGCTGTGGCCACTGCTGAGTGCCCAATTTGCCAGCAACAGGGACCAACACTGAGCCCCTCAATATGACACCATTCCTCAGGGTGATTAGCCAGCTCCCTGGCAGCAGGCTGATTACACTGGACCCCCTCCATCACGGAAAGGGCAGAGGTTTGTCCTCACTAGAATAGATACTTACTCTGGATATGGTTTGCCTATCCTACACACAATGCTTCTGCCAAGACTACCATTCATGGACTCATGAAATGCCTTATCCACCATCATGGTATTCCACACAGTATTGTCTCTGACCAAGGCACTCACTTTATGGCTAAGGAAGTGCAGCAGTGGGCTCATGCTCACAGAATTCACTGGATAGAATGGTGGAACGGCCTTTTGAAGTCACAATTACAACACCAACTAGTTGACAATACTTTACAGGGCTGGGGCAAAGCTCTCCAGTAGGCCATGTATGCTCTGAATTAGAATCCAGTATATGGTGCTGTTTTTCCCATAGCCAGGATTCATGCCCTGTGATTAAGGTCAACGGGAAATCACAACAGCCCAATCCAGGAAAGACTAAAAATGGTCCAGACCCTTCAGGAATGAAGGTTTGGGTCACTGTACCAGGAAAAAAAAAAACACGACCTGCTGAGGTGCTTGCTGACAGCAAAGTGAATACAGAATGGGTAAGAGAAGAAGGTATTCATCAATACCAATTATGACCACATGGCCAGCTGCAGAAATGAGGACTACAATTGCCGTATTTCCTCCTCCTTTTGCTAAAAACATGTTTGTGATGTATACACTTGTACTAAGAAAATATCTGCATTTTATTTCATTTATCATGCAATATAAGATTTATTGACTTCATATCAGCATTTAAGTATTATTACCTTTATGTAATAGCACTTAGGTTGAAGATTGGTGTGTTTCCAGTTGTATGAAGAATAGTTGTATTATGTTAGGCATAATTATGACCTTATTATTGTCTTTATTTGAAGATTATGTATGATCTCAGGAGATGTGTATAGGTTCAAGTTGACAAGGCATGGACTTGATGGTTAACACTGTGTCAACTTGATTGGATTGAAGGATGCAATGTATTGATCCTGAGTGTGTCTGTGAGGGTTGCCAAAGGAGATTAACATTTGAGTCAGTAGGCTGGAAAGGCAGATCCACCCTTAATCTGGGTGGGCACCATCTGATCAGCTGCCAGAACAGCCAGAATATAAACATGAAAAACATAAAAGGACTAGACTGGCTTAGCCTACCAGCCTACATCTTTCTTCCATGCTGGATGCTTCCTGCCCTCCATCATTGGACTCCAAGTTCTTCAGCTTTGGGACTCGGACTGGCTTTCTTGCTCCTCAGCTTGCAGACGACCTATGTGGGACCTTGTGATCATGTGAGTTAATACTACTTAATAAACTCCCTTTTTTATATACGTCTATTTGTTCTGTCCCTCTAGAGAACCCTGACTAATACAGGTGGTCACTCTTGTCTTGAACTCACTAAGGCAGGAAAAGCCATAGAGAATAGAGTGTGACATGAGCAGACCCCGACACAGAAGCCAGGACACCATTGTGGTGGTTGTCAGTTCCTACACCAGCCCCTCATGAAGCACAGCTGGAAATTCTACCTTTGGGTTCTGCAAAACACTCTACTTCCTTCTACCACCTTCTTCTTCTTTGGCTGGGAGCCAAAGAGTACTCTGTCTTTAGTCCAAAGAGATACAGGGAGATCAGAGAGGAAAAGGTGAGTATAGAAAATGACTAAAGCTGTGGGAAAGAGGCAAGGTAGGTTCCAGAGACCTTCTTGTACAGCCAGGCCTGGAAACAGAAGGTGAAATAAAGGAGGTGGCAGGTCCCTTGCTTGCATCATGGAGAGGGAAGGCCTTACCCAGAGACACCAGGAGTCCACAGTTTTCCAGCATCACCTCCTGATACAGGGTCCGCTGAGCTAGGTCCAGTTGCCCCCACTCCTCCTTGGTGAAAGTCACAGCCACGTCATCAAAGGTCACAGAAACCTGGAAAGTCAAATAGTAGTAGTAGTATTGGCCTCTTAGCTGCTGAATGTGATCACAGATTGTGCTCCACTGGAAAAGGTGCAGAGAGATGGAGGCCTGAAGCACAGGGCACCTCCTGAGGGCCTAGCTCTGTGCTGGGCTCAAGAGGGAAGGTATTATACTCAAGCTTTGAAGATAATACCAGAGTAAAGGAGAGAAGTCTCCTATTTAAGAGACACTAGAGAATGACACAGGACAATGGAAACAACTTGTGGACTGTGAGACACAGAGACTAAGGGTTTTAAAACGACAGGGAAATGAGGAAATGGTAATAATAGCAATTATAGTTACAACAGCAATATCTGAGTCTCACTGGTCCAGCTACGTGCCTGCCCCACGTTGAAGGCTTCACATCCTGTGTTAAAGTGACTAGAAGTCCCCAGCTCCAAACACGTGAAACTGACACTTGACAGCTGTTACCTCAAAGACATCATTTCATTTCTCTGAGCCTTGATTTCTGGATCAATACAGTAATACCTCCCACTAGTAACAGTTGTTAAATTTAAAGAGAAATTATCCAATGCTCAGTGTGCTTTGGGATTTTTATTAATCCTTCCACAGCCCCTGCAATCAACACCATCATTGCCTTCACAGTCAGTGACTTGATGTGAAGGAAGCTCTATCAATTCACCCAGTCACACATCTCACCACCATAGTTAGGATCTAAACATGGGGTTACTATGATTCATGGGCTAACAATGTAACTCCAACACTTCATCAAAGCAAATCTAATGCAATGAAGTTATGAACCATTTCCACTCATTTCTGCCTTTAAATCCATTTCAGTTAGCCCTGAAAACCTATCTGTGGGCCAGGCATGATGGCTCATGCCTGTAATTCCAGCACTTTGGGAGGTTGAGATGGGCAGATCACCTGAGTCCAGGACTTCGATACCAGCATGGCCAATATGATGAAACCCCATCTCTACTAAAAATACAAAAACTCGCCAGGTTTCATGCCTGTAATCACAATTACTTGGGAAGCTGAGACAGGAGAATTGCTTGAACCCGGGGGGCAGAGACTACAGTGAAGCAAGATTGTGCCACTACACTCCAGCCTGAGCGACAGGGAGAGACCCTGTCTCCAAACAAAACAAAACAAAAAAACTATCTGTGAACACGGGAACAGAAAGCATACATTCCTCACTGACCCCACATGAGAGGCACTGGAGCGGTTTGCATCCACTTGGGAGAACGACAGGCCCCAGATCAGCTTCCCATGCCCTCTGGGATCTCCCTGGGTCTCCCAACCCACTCTCCTCACCCTCTCCCCCCTCCAAGGAAGTTCCAACATAACTTCTCTCTTAAGGCCAGAATATTCTGAGTCCACGGAACACGAGTGGCCAAGGATAATGCTGGCTGTAGCCATGAAAATAAGGGCCTCTGACTGGCCACAATGTCTGTATTAGCTGTGAATGGGTGGAACATCCAGGAAAAGACCACAGACACTTTCCCTCCTTGTCTCAGCAGACGCAGAAAACCAGGGCAACCTCACAGGCCCTCCTGGGCCTCCTTAAACATACAATATACCTTGTCTCTGTCCACGCACTTCGGTCGGTCTGCTGCTGCCCTGCCCTCCACCTCCCCAATCAGATCCCCAATTTCCTGCTGGAATGAGACCTGGTCCACCAGAGTGGATGCCTGCAGGCCAAGGATGAAGGGAGTCCCCAGAGGAAGCATCATTCACTCAACAACCTACAAAGCTCCTTTCAGTAGGCCCAACACCCCTTAGGACCAGGTATAAATTAAGTGGCAAAGCAGCTCTACACACCAAAACGAACGACTACTGCGAAGACAAATGCAGGGGCTACCTGGGCTCCCACCCACTACGGGAACCGCCTCTGGGCTGGCAAAGGAGCGGCAACGGCGAAGCCACCGTCCACTCACCTGAGCCCGGTCCGTCAGCACCGCTGCCGCCATCACGTCACTCCCTGGGCCGCAGAGCTGGGACAGAGCAGCCTCCGGCGGCTTAGCGGACCCCACCTGTGCCCGGTCCTGGCCAGTTGCACGCGGCTACTCGCCGCGCTCGGGGCCGCCGCCTCTTCAGTGGCAACGGCGTTCCAGACCCAGGGCGCCGCCTCCTCGATGGTAACGGCGATCCAGACCCAGCGGGCAGCCCCTGGCGACCGCAGGGCTGAAGGGCGGGGGAGGAGAGACCGCGGCTTGACGGCGACCCAGGAACAAGCCCGTTGAGGCTCCGTCAACCTCGTACAAAGGTGCAGCGGGGATTCCTACTCTCCTCCCCTCCTCGGTCCTGATTAGGGCCCTGGAAAGCGGCCCTGGCCGGCGCCCTCAGCGGCTCCAGACTCCGTACATAGGCGCAGAGAAAAATGGCGTCCTCAGCGAACAACCCGGAAGTCCCGCCCCCGCCGGTGTGGGCCGCCGGAAACGTCCCTGTCCTAGGCCGCCATTGGCCCAGCACCCGCTGCAAGTGGAATGCGCAGAGTTCTAGGGACTGTAGGTTTCCTGATGTGTTCAACCAGGAGAGGAGGGCTTCACGGCGCGTTTTCCTCCCGGGAAAAGGCACTCGAGGACCCAAGGAGACGCTCCAGACCCGCCTCTTTGCGATGGGCACAACTCGAGGGGAAAGACGGAGGGAGGGAACCGAGGGACAGAGGGTTAGCCTGCTTTCTTCTCTCGGGAAGATCAGAGCTCGGGACACAGGGACTTTCGTTCAGGTCAGCGCACAGGCTAAGGCGCAGAACCGGGTCCTCAGCCCGCCTGACGACTGACCCCCTTTCAGATGCCTCCTCCCCGGATCGTCTTCTTGGAAGCCACAAAAAAATAGCCTGATGACCGTCTGGAAGCCCTGTCCCGACATGTGTGCGCAAACGGTCCTCTTTGGGGCCTTTGGACCAGCGCAGCCTCCACGCGATGCAGGGAATCCTGTACTTGGCCCAGACCACACAAAAAGTGGATTTGCCCGCTTCTGAGGTGGGGAGCCTACAAGTGGAGGAGGCTCGTAAACTCAGGATGGTTAGTTTGAAATGTCTGTAAAACCACAAAGTATCTCTGTCAAAGGCAATTCAACTTACGACTGAGTGTTGGAAGAAGGTTTGAGCATTGATACATGAATTTAGGAGTTGTTTTTCAAGTTATGATACTGAGTGAGACGATCAGGGCAATAAATGTAGATGGAGAAGAGCATAGACAGAGCATGAGCGGGTGACCAAGTCTACATCATTAAGTGGTTAATGACAATATTACCAGAAAGGCCAGACTTTATATCAAGGTGCTTGCTGCACAGAAGGCCAATCAGTGAGACAATGAGTGTTGCCAGGGATGAAGGCTTTATTTGGTGTTGCAGTTGAGGAGAATGGGAGATTAATCCCAAATCCCTTTCCTCAACTGACCAAAACTAGGGGTTTATACATCAAGGAAGAAGTGTAACTATGTGTGAGAAAACAGGAATTAGGAAGGGGTCAGGAAGAGGAATGGGTGAACAGGCAGCAACGGTTAGTTAGGCAATCATGATGGGTAAGGGGTACAGCATCTCATTATCCAGATGTGGTAATCCAGTAAGTTTCAACTTCTTGATACTATCTGGGAGGCCTGATGCTTGGTTTCCTGAAAAAGGAAATCAGATTAGGCAACTCTAAGTGTCTCTAGTTTTAGGAACAGGAGGCTCAATGTCTATAATGTGTTTATTCAAAAGAAACCATTAATATCAGTTTTTTTGGACACTGGAGCTGGTTTCAGTTCCCTCTCTTTCTGTTTATCAATTCCTCAATCATGGGGAATCTGGACTTGATCTTTCTGGCTGCTTTATGCTGAGGAGGGCTATTGCGGGTAGCTCCACACCATAGATGACCACGTGGCCACTCAGATTAACCCAAAGATTAATCTAACGCTATATTTTTCTTTCCTTCCTTCCTCCTTTCCTTCTCTTTCCCTTTCCCTTTCCTTTCTTTTCTTTGATGGGGTTTTGCTCTTTCGCCCAGGCTGGAGCGCAGTGGTTCAATCTCGGCCCACTGCAACCTCTGCTTTCCGGTTTCCAGTGATTCTTGTGCTTCAGCCTCTTGAGTAGCTGGGATTACAGGTGCCTACCCCCACGCCCAGCTAATTTTTGTATTTTTCGTAGAAACGGAGTTTTACCATGTTGGCCAGGCTGGTCTCAAACTCCTG